GAACCCGAGACTGAGAAGCCGGAGGAAGAGCAGCCTACTCTGTCAACCTCTATCCCTGTTCGATCAATAAATAACATGTAAATACAACAATGGCAGAAGCAACATATGAATTAATTCAATACTATTAATCTACTATGCACAACATAACCCACCACCATTCCATCCATGTCATTACCAAACAAATACATAGCTAAACTAGCTAGCTAACTACGTCAGGGAAATAGCAAAAAAGAAAAGGGGAATGACGAGATGCACATTTATCATTGATTGTCATTCATTTCTCTGCATGCCATTCACCAAACCATTGACGGCGAGAGAGAGGACTCACATAGGATAGGGCGACGACGGGGTTCCAGGGCGATGAGAAGACATGGAGGACAAAGGTTAGTGGTGCGACCGTGCGACGAGCTACCTCTTCATCATAAATTATCTTTTTGTCCCGAAATGACCCAGCCCAATAGGGAAATCCTAATTCATTGGGCCTTTCGATACAATCAAATAGAAAGCTATGTCTACGACAGCGAGAGTGCGGGATGACTGACGATGGCGACGATGGTCGACGAATACTGGGAGCGGGAGGACAAAGGCGGCGGTGCGACGAGCTGGCTATGAAGGCGAGAGTGTGGGATGACTGAGAGAGGACGATAAGTTATGGGAGCGGGAGGACGGCGGTGCGACGAGCTACTACGACGGCGGGAGTGCGGGGCCATGAGAATGGTAGGGCGATGAGCCGATAACGAATGCTTGGCGACGATGACACTACAAAAAAGTCAGTCAGTTATTACCAAAACTGCATGATGACTGCTTTTTTTCGTCGCAAATTATCATCATTACCAACGAAATACCGAAATTGTTGCAAAAGTAAATATTTTTCCTGACCAAAAAAAATATCGCGTTGGAAATGACAATAAATTGTGTGGAAAATTATATTTTAGGTATATTCGATGGATTTTGGGTAATTATTTATGACAAAATTTATTTTAACGTTGTAAATATGCAATAATACTGACAATTTTAATTTGTGTGTCGATAATGTATTTGTATTTACGATGCTGTAAATATTATCGTTGGAATAAATATTTTTTACGACGAGTAATCTTCAACATCAGTATTGTTTCCTCGCAAATGTTCTTATTTGTGAGGATTACTATATACATCAGAACAACTTTTCAATTCCAACTAAAAATTTTGTTCGTCGCAAACTTTTCGTCAAAGAAATTTTGAGAAAAGTCGTTTACACCCCCAGTGCCCCTATTTCACAAAACGGTAATTGATAATTAAAAAAAGAAACAAGACGGAGGATTGAACATTGTACCTCCAAACTGAAATATGACATACTCACCAGTTGCACTATACCTGCATTCATGACTATTCCCGAGTCTTTTTTACTTATTATTGGAGTAATGTCGAAATTCAATCGACGCACAAACTCGGTTCATCCCCTTCGTCCCTTCCGATTAAACTTACATTCATCCCTTCTGCAGAAAACTGCAACGAAGATATATAGAAACGATTGGCCTCTAATTAATTGAATTAAAGGGATAAATCATAAGTATGTGGTTAATTGATGCAATGAACGGTTGAATCAGAGTTCATGAATCAGCCAAATGTCGAATGGATGAAGACCTGAGAAACTGGGGCTTATAAAAAATGAGATTGAAGAAGAACATAACACGGTAATTATTCATCTAGGATCACGAATCAATCTCTTTTGCAGAGAGAAGGATTCACAAAATTTCCACCCCCATATTGGGTTCAGCCGCACGCCGCCGGATTTGATTCAAACGCCTGCCGGCGTAGTTTGCTCAGTCGTAGACCGACGGAATTTCTTCAGTCAAACGTCGTCGGATTTGATCCAGGCGCCCGCCACCGTGGTTTGCTCAGTCGCACACCGCCGAAAATTCTTCAATTGAACGCCGCCGTTGGAGAATTTTGGCCGACCGGTGTTCTGTTCTCGATCGGGAACTGGAAGTAATTCAAGAACGGGAAGAGGTACCATTCCCCTTCTCTTCGTACAGATTCATTTTTCTTTGAAAAAGATCATATCTATTTGAGACAATTTATAATTATATACTTAACTAATTATATTTGAATGTTATATTATTTTTTGTTGGTGAATGGGAATACATAGGTTAAATATTAATTTTTAAATTTAATTAAAATTAATTTTTGATGTTATCGTCCTAATTGAATCTAGTTCATTGGTGTAGGTATGGCATCAATTTATAAATCCTGGATACAATTGAAGAATAGGGCATCTATGGAGTATATGGACGGAGTTAGAAAGTTCGCACAATACGCAGAGGACAATGTTAAAGACGAAGATGGTAAAATTACGTGTCCTTGCACGGTCTATTCTAACGTCTACAGATTGACGATTGGAGTGGTAGAGACGCATCTTCTTCGTAAAGGGATGCGAAGTGACTACACTAAGTGGGTATACCATGGGGAGGGTGATGATGAAGATGAAAATGAAGACGAAGATGATGACATTGAAGATGAGAATGAAACCGGTGATGTCGATATGGACTTGGATGACATGCTGGGTGTTCTTAATGACTTTTTACCTCCACAAGCCGATCCTGAGCCGGAAGAACCTAACGAAGAAGCCCAAAAGTTCTACAAACTTTTTGGAGAAGCGCAATCACCGTTGTATGAAGGTTGTGATCCAAAGTTGTCAAGATTGTCATGTATCGTGAAGCTCATGAACATGAAGTGGTTGAACAACTGGACTGATCATTCCTTTACCGAGTTGTTGAAATTTATTCGGAGCGCATTTCCTATGGCGGAGTCATTGCCAAAAAATTACTATGCAGCAAAGCAGTTAATGAAGGGTCTTGGGCTACATTGTGAAGAAATACATGCATGTGTGGATGATTGCGTATTATATTACGGTGATCTGGAGAAGGCTACATCTTTCCCATCATGCGAGAAGTCAAGGTACAAGAAAGTTTATAAGGATAAGAAGGGAAGAGTGCAAAAAATTCCGTTCAAAATTTTACGGTATTTTCCAATCAAGCCCCGACTACAGAGATTATTCATGTCCTCTAAAACTGCCGAAGGCATGGTTTGGCATGCTGGACACCATTCTAAAGATGGGATATTAAGGCTCCTGTTGACGGTGAGGCTTGGAGTACTTTGGACAAGTACGATCCAACTTTTGGAGCTAAAGCCTGAAACGTAAGGTTGGGACTAGCTACCGATGGATTCAACCCATTCGGTAATATGAAGAGCACTCACAGTACGTGGCCAGTTCTTCTATTCCAGTATAATCTCCCTCCCTGGAAGTGCATGAAGACACCCTTCACCTTCTTGACATTACTCATTCCTGGCCCATAAGCACCGGGCAATAATATTGACGTATTTTTTAGACCAGCCATCGATGATCCGAAGAAGTTGTGGGCTGACGGTATGTTGACTTATGATGATTTTAAGAAGGAGAACTTTATCATGCGAGCAGCTATTCTATGGACCATCAACGATTATTCGGCTTATGCTAATCTCTCTAGATGGGCAACAAAAGGTAAGGCTTGTCCTTCATGTGGAGCTGAAACAGCCATTTGAGATTGACGAATGGACGTAAGGAGTGCTATATGTACCATCGTCGGTTTTTGCCACCAGATCATAAGTGGCGGAAGCAAAAGAAGGAATTTAATGGCAGAGTAGAGAAGAGGCCCCCACCGCGAATTTTTTCGTCACTCGAGGTATCCACTCAGCTCAACTAATTAGATGCAATAACTTTTGGAAGTAAAGAAAAGGGTATACAAATTGACGGATTTGGAAAATCTCATAATTGGAAGAAGAAGTCAATCTTCTTTGAATTCCCATTTGGAGTTCACTAATGATCCAACACAATCTAGATGTGATGCATATTGAGAAGAACGTCTGTGATAGTCTTATTGGTACCATGATGAGTATCGAGGGTAAAACAAAGGATGGGCAAAATGCACTAAAAGATTTGGAGGAGTTGGGAATCAAAAAGGAACTTCATCCCGTTGAGATAAACGGGAGGACTATGTTACCGCGAGCTTCATACAGCTTGCTTCCGGTAGAGATGAAGGAATTGTGTCAGTGGCAATCAGAGTTAAAGGTTCCAGATGGGTATTCTTCTAATTTGGGTAATTGCTTGAACGTCCAGGAAGGAAAGATTTCAGGTATGAAAACTCACGACTGTCAATGTTCTCTTACAGCGGTTACTTCCGCTGGCTGCTCGTGACTTCTTGTCGAAGGCTATAGCTGACCCCTTAATTGAGTTTGGAAATTTCTTCAAGAACATATGTGCTAAAAAGTTAAGTGTACAAGAGTTAACTCGAATGGAATCTAAAATTGCCATAACCCTCTGTAAGCTGGAACGTATATTTCCACCGGCGTTCTTTGATATCATGATCCACTTGGCCGTTCATTTGCCTTGGGAAGCCAAAGTTTCCAGACCAGTCCAATATCGTTGGATGTATCCAGTGGAATGGTATATACATGAGCATGTTTAATTTTTTTCACGTTATTGGGTTTTATATGAATTTCCCGGGCCTTAACAAATTTAATTATCATTTTGGTACAACTAATTTAGATATTTGAAGAAGCTCAAGGGTTACGTTCAGAACAAGGCCAGACCAGAGGGATCTATTGCTGTAGCATATGTGATTGACGAGTGCGTTACATTTTGCTCCCAATATCTAACGGATGTTGAGACGAGATTTAATCGTGCGGAAAGAAACAATGATAGTTGTGAGGGAAACCCCATTGACCAACACAAATTGTCCATCGTGTCATGTGTCGGTCGTAGCATTGGTTCATCTACAATGGAAGACCTCGGAGCAGTTAAGTTCAAGGCGACCACGATTTATGTCCTGCAAAACTGTGACGAAGTGGAGGAATTTATCCAGTATGTTTTAGTTGTTTTCCAAAATGATGTCTTTCTTTATTTTAATATAATTCTTAGAAACACAGTAATAATTTATTTTCCGTACATATACAAAGAGCACAAACAAGTGCTAAATAGTCAAGGAGTTCGAATGGTTGAGCGAGTATATAGGGAGGAATTTCAAAAGTGGTTCGCAACGAAGGTATTTAAATTTTGGTTAATTATTTACATAAATTTAAATACAAAAATTTTGTTGCCTTTTTTTCAAATTTAATTTAATAGGTAGGAAAAATGCACGAAGAAAAGGTTGCAACATTGCATCCTTCTATGTTGACTTTATCTCGAGAACCCGACAAACGAGTCTTGCACTTCACAGGATATTGCATAAATGGTTTTAGATTCCACACGCGAAAGCATGAAGCGACCAAGACAGGTCAAAATAGCGGAGTAATGGTACAACGTGAAGATGCCGTTAGAATTCCTTACTATGGCGTCATCAAAGATATCATAGAGCTTCGCTATACCGAAGGCCTTCGTGTGGTGTTATTTGAATGCGAGTGGTACGACACGACGAGAGAAGGTTTAGGCTACATGAGGGATGGCCACAGCGTGGTGACCCTTAATACGACACGTAAGTGCCATGCCGATGAATCGTATGTTATGGCGAGTCAAACACTTCAAGTGTATTATGTGCAGTGCGTCAGAAATCGAGATTGGTACACGGTGATTGAGACAAGACCGATAAATTTCTATAATCTAGCCGAGGAAGAAGAAATTCTCGAAGAACATGCGTACCAATAAGACGCAATTATCGATGATCCTCGAATAATCGAGGATAACAGATACGATAATAACTTGAGTTTGACTAGACCGGGTTATGAAGATTTTATTTAGACTTTTGTTACAATTATACGGTGACACTTTGTTTTAGACTTACTCTTATTTCGTTAAGTTCAATTAATAATTGAGGATTGCAATTTGTTTAATACTTATATTTTATTTTGTTAAGTTCAAATGCTAATGGGATATTGCAATTTCATTTAGTTAATTAATTACCCCAATAGTTACCACTTCTATAAAGGAAAAATACGGCACCGTTTTGGGGATTTAATTCTCGGAAAGGAGATAACAATTTAGTGAAGGGGAGGATTCATCCTCCTTTTCACTTTACCAAAACCTCAAAATCACTTGAACGTCGCTCTCCGCCGGGAGACTATCTTCCAGTCCAAAATGGAGGAGCAGTTTCCCGGCGACATTGTTTGGAAGGGGGAGAAGAGAGTTGCATCGCGAGGCGGAAAGTCTATAACCCCAAATCGAAGGCGGTGTTGTTTACAGAGGCGCTTCAGCTTCTGGAATCGTGGAAAACCGAGAAGCGAGATCGGTGCATGCCGCGAACTCCGTGTGGTTGAAGACGAAGCTCCAGTTGTTTCGTCTTCTCCCAATAGAGATTTGCTTGGGTTCTGCATAGTAAGTTAAATTCTTTCCCCTTATCGAGTCTTCAATTTTGGAATTTGACCATGGATTCACGCGTTGAATTAAATGTTGTGATGATTTAATCCTCCCTTTGAGATGCATGCTAGAACTTTCGTCTTATTTTTCACGACTTCAATTGAATTCGTCGATGTGTTTTTGCACTAACCCAAAAAAATAGCGGGTTAACGAGGGAAAACAGGATTTAAGGGCATTAAAAATTTCATCTATCTAAAAACTTAAACTCTCTCTCACTCTGCATTCTCGTGTATACTCCCTCCCTTCACCGTTTACCTCCTAAGCCATAAACCTTTCCCCAGCAAACCACAACCAAGAGACGAAGTATGCCTCTGTTTATGTGTGTTTAACCATTTTTTAGGATATGTTCATCTTCCCCTTTTCTAACAGAGCTTTATATGTATATGTTAGATGGGAAAGTTAAGGACACGGAAAAATCTGAAGAAGAAGGCGCCTCCAACTCCTACAAAGGAACAAGAAATACCCACCCCTGCAAAAAGTGTTCATGTTGCTGATCAGGACACTGACCAAACATCTTAATCTGAAAATGTGCCAGCAGTCGGCACGAGTCGCACGACGGCACCTAGAGGCCAGACCCAGTCACCCACACTCGCAGAAGGCAGAAGCACCAAAAGGCAAAAATGGCTCAGCAGATCAGCATGAAGATTTTCGGTTCTGGGATGGAAAACCGAACCAAACCGAGCTATAATTTGGTTCGATCAAAGCGAACTGAATTATAGTTCGGTTCGAAATCGGTTGGAACATGGGTGACTTCGAAAATTTGACATATACCCGTTCGGTTCGGTTCAAACCAAACCGACCGAACGCCCACCCCTACCTTCCGATGACATTGCAATGGAGACTGATGAAACAGTTAGGAGCACTGATGGAGAGGCAGGAAACCAGGGTAAGCACTTGATCTTCTTAAGTTAATTTTTTTTCCACGTTTACTGTGTAAAAGGTCTAATTATGGACCAATGTATTCTGAATAAGGTTTTGGCAAGAAGAGGAAAGGATGAGGACCTGGAAAGGGGTGAAGCCATGTCATGAAATTGTACTTGAATTCCATGACAATAGGTATGACATGCTCGGTTTTCATTTACTGTATAACGATGTGTTTTTGCAATTGACAAATAGTGTGTGGTTTTGTATGTGTGATAATTTTTTTGCAGGATTGTGACAACAGCAGCAGCCCGTGAAATGTCGACCATTTTCAAGAGGAGCATAAGTGGACCGTGGATAATTTCAGTGAGTATCCAGCAGCTGAGTTGGAGACCGTGATTCCTCGTTTCAAGGAGTCTAGATTTGCTTGCACCCTCCCGGAGGAAGAGATGAATGCTAAACTCAAGGAACACATCAAAAGAAATTTCCCGCGTTGGATGTACTCATTCCACAATCCTGTGTTCAAGGAGCATGCGACGGAGGCTGGCAAGATGAAAAATCCACCAAATGCAATACCTCCACAGATTTGGTGGGAAATGGTTCGCAAATGGTCAAACCCTAGTTGGGTGGTAAGACCTTCTGCTTTTATCCTATGTTGAGTAGTTTATTGTGCTATATAAATCAGCAACTTAGTTGTGCTTCTGCTTTTTCCAAAACCTGCAGGATACAAGTGATAAGAACAAGGAGAACCGTGAGAAGTGTGAGCTGAAGTCAACTTGTGGTTCTGCTCCCTTGGCAAAGTACAGATTGGAAGAGGTGTGTTACAAAACCAAGTACCTATTTCTTTTATTGTTTGATTCCCCCTTTTTTGTATGTATGAGTGTGATGTTTTGTTGATTGATTGTGTCTTTGCAGATCAAGAAGACGGGCAGAGAACCGAATCCTATTGAGACATTCAGGAAGTTTTATTCAACAAAGGATAATTTCACCACTCCCAAGGCTCAGGCTCTACATGTAAGTAAACACATTCTGAATTCCAATCATATTGCTTGGTGTTGTAGTGTTTAAGTGCATAGGGGAACCAGAAATACTAACAATAGTTTTTATCTTGATCTGTTTAGGCTGGAATGAAGGCAAAGGAAGTAAAGAAGTTGAGCAAAGGGGAGGATGTGAACAAGTTTGCTATTTATGGAGAGGTGGTAGGCCAGCAGCGAAGGAAGCGAGTGCCTGGGATGGGTTGAGGGGGTCAGTGGCCTAGATGTGTTTGGCTCTACTTCAAGCCAAGGCTGCAACAAAAAATGCAAAGAGGATCAAAGGATAGAGAAGGAGAAGAGCGATGAGAAGATGAGAATGATGGAAAAACAGATCGAGCAGGTGAACCGTAATATGCCTCTTGTTGTTGAGGCGACGCTGAAGAGGCTTGGAATCCAGCTGCCAAAGTCGTCCAATGTAATTCTGATCCCATTTTTCTTATGTATTATTAAATGTATGTATGTAATGAATGAGTAATTCCCACTTTTCCTGTTCTATGTGATGATGTAGGCTGCAAACAACAATGATATGGAGGATGATGAAGAAGTTGATGGTGAGGAAGAAGATGACGACAGTGAAGATGACGAGGAGGGTGATGGGACAAACTGATGATGCAGTTCTCGACGTGCAATGGAGGTCTGCAGCTAGGAGTGGTGTGTATTCGTTGTGTTTTTTCATTTGTTAGATTTTAGCATCGCTCGTTTAATGCAAGAAAGACAGTGGTGTTTTATGTTTTGTGGGTGCACTCGTTTAGTGAAAGAAAGACTATGTTTAATGTTTTGTTTGTGCACTCGTTTAGTGCATGTAAGACATTGGTGTGTACACCACATCTCTTAATTATCCAGTATGTAAGACAATGGTGATCGTATGGCACCTTTCTTTATATCCAAGTAATTGTCATTTAGCTATTTCGAATATTTTTAATAATTTATGAAACTGCAATTAAAATATAACATTACAATTGCATTGATAATAATTTTGACGATATCTAACATCATTTTCAACGCTTAATAATTTATTTGTGACCATTTATGATAATAATTTTGACGATATGTAATATCATTTCCAACGCTTCATATTTAACTTGTTAGGACAACTGGACCTCGTAAAACATATTAGTGACCAAGCAAATTTCATCACAACTAAATTAAGTATCAATTTTTTTATTTCCGAACAAAATTATTCGATTCGAATTTGAAAGGGTATTTTTTATATAACCATCATCAACGAATAAAGTGTCATCACAAATAATAATATTTATGAAAATATTTTCCCAACCAAAATTATTAGTCGCAAAATAAAATTTTTATTTTTTCTAAAATTTAACAACAACAAATCCAGTTCCATCACAAATAATATTATTGTGACAATTTTTTTCTGACAAACATTAGTTGTCGAAAATTAAAAAGGGTATTTTATGAATTAAAATATCGATCCAAATTGTACAATTTTGCAACGATTCAAAGTCGTCGTAAATATAGTTGAAGGGTATTTTTATCATTAACTATTTATTGTTAACAACATTTGGTTGTAAAAAAACAAAATTCCGTCAAAAATAAACTTCGTCATTTTCTGAGCATCAAGTATAATTTATTTATGACCACAATAATTTATGTAATGACATCCAACCATGTATCACAAATATTCTTGTTATGATGCCCTAACCAATTTCCATTTTTTGCGATGAGACTTTTTCCGATGACAACCAACGACTGTATGTCGTCAGAACAAGTCATTTTCAAAGAAAAAAGTTCATTTCCAACGCCAAACTGTTGGTCATAACTGACCGTCTTTTTTGTAGTGAGGCGGTGACGAGACTGACGACTGAGGAGGGCAGGGTGATGACCACGGTAGGGTTTGGAACTCGGGGGAAGCGACGGGAGATGTTCTGGTTTTGCAATTCAAGATTTAGGGTTTCCATAGGCTATCCTCGTCTTCAATCGCGTTTCACGATTCATCCAAGTCTCGCCAAAACGACGTTGTGTTTGGTGTGTGGAAGATGGTCGCGGTTGTTGTGGTTAACCGCCACGGTTGCGGTTATTCACTAGTAACCGCAAACTTATCTTTATCACTGGTGCCTAGTAACCGCAACCGCCAACCGCATTAAAACGGTTATCGTTAACCAAGAAATCGGCAATCTCGGTTCAATTATGCGGTTACCCGGGTAACCGGAGACCGACTAACAACCTACTTTTTAATATAAAAGATTGTATGAAATGAGTACAAAGAATTTATAATATAAAATATGAATCAAAATTGTTAAAATAAAAATAGGTTAAAATAAATCTTGTTAGATTTTTGTATATTAAATAATATTATTTACTAATTTATTTTATTTTTATAATGGTATAGACGAATGAAAATTACATTTTCTAAAATGAAATTAAAATAAAATATAATAAGAATAATTTAATATTTTCAAAACAATTTCTCGCAAAAATGTCAAATGAAAACGTCTGTTTTTATGTCATACAAAATTATCTTTCAATTTTTTAACAAAGTTTTTGTACAAACACTGTGTAAAAAGTAGGGCTACAATTGAGTCTAGTCGAGCCGAGCTTTACCCCAGTTTGAGCTCGGCTCGTTTATTAACGAGTCGAGTTCGAGCTAGCTTGGTTACTAAAATCTTAACTCGTATTTGATATATTCATTTTGTATGTCATGTATTATACACGTGATAAATGTCAAGATGAAAATAATAATAACAATAGGTAAGTGTTTCATATTAACTAATCTCATGTCATGTTAGACTTTGTGGTTTCATATTATTTAGTTAATAAATTTTAACTAGTCAATTTTTTTTTCTTCACAGTTTCGAAGCAATCTATGATACATAATTTCATTTTTAAATTAAATAAGACATATTTGCTCACATAATCTACATGTTAAACTTCATATAGGGTGAATATATAATTTAACAATCCTATGAATTATCAAAATCAAACTCATATAGATCGATTCGCTCATAAATCGGTTGTCGAGTTGGCTCTTTATCCACAATGTTGAGAGTTGAGACATCTCATGAACTCTAAATGAGCCAACTCACGAGTTGAGCTCAACAAGCCATCGAGTCGAGCTAGCTCACGAGCTCATTAAGCTGCAAAAAGTTTAGCTCAAATTCGACTCGTTAATAAACGAATCGAACGTCGAGTCACTCACGAACATGCTTGCCAGGCCGCGTAGCAGAAGAGCACTTGATATACTTTTCGGTACAGTATTAAACATCAGATCCACTTCCCCTCCCAAAATCAGAGGGCCTAACCAATAAACCATCAATAACCTATTTATTTTCTTTAATATTAGGAATTCGGATCACAACTTCAGTTTCAGACGCAAACGTTTTCTTTCTGGAAAAGTGGAAAACACACACAAAAAAAATGCCCCAAACAAATCGCCAAAGGCTAAATCCAGCCTGAAAACCCCCAGTTTCCGTCCCGGTTTGCAATTTTCTCTTCGGAATCGAACATTCTCATCCGTTTCTGCTTTTCACTGCGCCGGTGGCCATGGCGGACGACGCTGGTGGTGGCAGTGCAAGTGGAAGTGGCAGTATTGTTAGTCTCTGCGGTGGTAGCTCCGACATAAGCGGGAGGCCCGGTTCGATGGACTCGGTGGAGTCACGGTGGGTCTTCCAAGACGACGACGACGACGACGACTCTGTGATTGATGACGACGAGGATGGTTTGCAACGTCGCGGTACTGGATTGGATTCCGACGATGAGGAGGACGACGAAGACGATAATGCGGAGCAGCGCCTTATCCGCACCGGGCCGCGGATCGATTCCTTCGACGTTGAAGCTCTTGAGATCCCAAGCGCCCAGCGAAGTGACTACGAGGTGCGGCATCATGTTGGGTTTGCGAGATTTTCTTTTTGCACGAAATTTAGACCTGGTAGTTGTTTATTGGAAGTGGGAGAACCGTGAGTGATGTAAACCTTTACATGAATTTAGGCTTTTATTTGTCACTGTGGTGCTATCTTTCTAGATCCATGAAGATGGAATCCATGCTGAAGCTCTCACTAGAATCTCTCTGTTTTGGTCTCCTCCTGTTTAAGTCTCACTCATTTGACCTAGACTTACAAGTTTATGCATCTAAGTGTATTTTTATCATCCTATTTGTTTTTTGGTTCTATACCGAGTGCCACGAAGATGGAGATTCCTTGTATAGCACTCAATAACCCCAGGAGCATTGCTCTCCGACAGGGACCAAGTTATTCTTTTAACGGTTCATGTTCATTACAGGACTTCAGTGTGAGCAAGAAGATTATTCTAGCTTTTCAGACACTTGGTGTTGTATTCGGTGACGTTGGAACGAGTCCTTTATATGCATTTGATGTGATGTTTACAAAAGCACCCATAAGTGGGGAAGAAGATGTTCTTGGTGGATTGTCATTGGTCCTGTACACGTTGATCTTAGTACCTCTTGTGAAATATGTTCTTGTCGTGCTTTGGGCAAATGATGATGGCGAAGGTGAGTTAATTCTTATAAACTAGGAGATCTCTCTCAACTCTGTGTTCCATCTCTTATACCATGAATATTTCAAATGAGGAGTGGCTTAAGGTTATGCTTTAATGCTGCAGGAGGTACTTTTGCCTTGTACTCGTTGATCTGCCGGCATGCTAAGGTTAGTCTTCTCCCGAATCAGCTCCCTTCAGATGCTCGTATTTCAAGCTTCCGGCTGAAGGTCCCCTCCCCGGAACTGGAGAGATCATTAAAAATCAAGGAAAGACTAGAGGCATCATTGACATTGAAAAAGCTGCTTCTCGTCTTGGTGCTTGCTGGTACTTCGATGGTCATAGCTGATGGAGTTGTTACACCAGCGATGTCAGGTTTTACTCGCTGCTCTCTTACTCATCTAAAATCACGGTTCGTATGAAAATGTGCAAGTCGTCAGTTTAGGGTTCTGGTTTAATTTCCTGTATATATGATTTATGATATTCCAGTGATGTCAGCTGTTGGTGGTCTCAAGGTTGGAGTAGCTGCTGTAGAGCAAGGTAACATAATCATCTCGATTCTTCAAGTCCTTGCTTCTTTGCTGAGATTTTATACTTTCATCGGGAGATGGCCTCTGGGTTAGGCGTTCTGGTGTCCAACATTACTTTCCTTTTCCTTTTGGTTTCTTATGAGTTAGTTCAGGTCCTGTCCATTTTCTCTGTCGAAGTACTTTTGCGTCTGCATTTTGCATGTCTAATCCCTGCAAACTAGGTATAAATTTGAGCAGATTGTGACTTCTACTTTTCTTTTATGCAGACCAAGTGGTGATGATTTCCATTGCCTTTCTTGTAATTTTGTTTAGTGTACAGAAGTTCGGTACAAGCAAAGTGGGACTTGCTGTAGGTCCTGCTTTATTTGTATGGTTTTGTTCTCTAGCTGGCATTGGAATTTATAATCTTGTCAAATATGACAGCAGTGTATTAAGAGCATTTAATCCTGTTCACATCTATTACTTCTTCAAGCGGGACTCAGCTAAGGCCTGGCGTGCTCTTGGAGGTTGCCTTCTATGTGCAACAGGTAAGTCCATCTTGTGGAAATGCCAATAATCCCCTTGTCATTATAGTAACGTATATTGATATGTAATTGGTTAAAGTACCCTCTTTGGCGTTCTTCATATTTTGGCTTTGCATTTGCGAGCACTTTTTGCAACTGATAGATATTTTTTACAGGTTCTGAAGCCATGTTTGCAGATCTTTGCTATTTCTCTGTTAGATCAATCCAGGTAAAGCAAGGACAATCACTATTTTGTGTTTCAGATACACTGCAGCTTTTGTGCAACTTTTGTAAGTTCTATCCCTGGTTGCTTCTGTGCCTCTAATCCGTTTAATAGTGGTCAATTGCAGCTTACTTTTGTATTTCTGGTGTTACCTTGCCTTTTGCTGGGGTATTTGGGTCAAGCTGCATATCTGATGCAAAATCATACTGAAGTTCTGGCTGAACAGGCTTTCTTTTCGTCAGTTCCAAGTGAGCTCTTTCATTCCCCTTGTTTCCTGGCCAACAATATTCGTGATAATCGGGACTAATAGTGAAATGTGTTTCTTTTTCTTTTCCATTTGGTGGAGCTAAACTGTTCTCATTTTATGTTTTACCTGTGGATTTAAAACTAATAAAGCTTCTTATGTCTGTAGGTGGTGCATTCTGGCCTATCTTCCTTATTGCTAATGTTGCTGCATTAATTGCTTGTCGAGCAATGACAACAGCTACATTTTCTTGTATAAAACAGTCAACAGCACTTGGTTGTTTCCCAAGACTTAAGATTATCCATACTTCTCGAAAGTTCATGGGTCAGATTTATATTCCAGTCATTAACTGGTTTCTGCTGGCGGTGTGCATATTGTTTGTCTACTCTATTCAAAGCATTACTGAGATGGGAAATGCATACGGTAATAGCTTTACTGCCAACATTTTCTTGTCTTCCAACTAGGTTGTTCTTTCATAATCTATTGAAACGACCATAAAACTGTACTCTCTGGAACAAGAGAGTGCTCTGGGTGACTTTGTTTTATGAAGATTTTTATATTTTGCCATGTCCTAGAATCCCCCCCATACATTTGAGTGCAAAAAAATTGAATCACGAGTTAGGGAAAACTCTTACATGATCTTTTATCGTTGTCCAATCTAGTTCAGTTGAATACCAAATTCCTTGCTCCTGGAATTCAACCACTGGATTTATTGAGGGTTGGCTGATTCAAGTTCTTATGATCTTGGACAAAATCAGTAAAATGCTGCAAATAAACGTTTTAACTTCATCTGACTAATACTTCAATGTTGCTACCTTCTTTTGTTTGATAGGGTATAGTTTCATACTTATTTGAACATAACAGTTGACATTGACTTGTTGTTTACAGGGATTGCTGAGCTTGGGGTCATGATGATGACAACCATTTTGGTTACCCTTGTCATGCTCCTTATTTGGCAGATCAATATCTTTGTTGTGCTCAGCTTTCTTACGATTTTCCTAGGGATTGAATTGACATTTTTCTCATCAGTTTTATGGGGTGTGGGAGATGGAAGTTGGATAATATTGGTGTTTGCTGGAATTATGTTCCTTATCATGTATATTTGGAACTATGGGAGCAAACTAAAATATGAAACTGAAGTGAAGCAGAAGCTGTCAATGGATTTAACGAGGGAATTAGGGTCCAACCTAGGAACGATTAGAGCCCCTGGAATTGGCTTGCTCTACAATGAGTTGGTGAAAGGGATACCAGCTATATTTGGCCATTTTCTGACAACTCTTCCGGCGATTCATTCAATGATCATCTTTGTCTGTATAAAGTATGTTCCAGTCCCAGTTGTCCCTCAGAGTGAACGGTTCCTTTTCAGACGAGTCTGCCCAAAGAACTACCACATATTCCGTTGTATTGCCAGGTAATGTGCTCATTCATTCTTGATGTTTGAAAGCTATTCTCCTCTCAATTATATCCATCGCTTGTGATCACAGAGTTGTTTTGCATAAAAAATAAAAACAGGTACGGTTACAAAGATGTGAGGAAAGAGAACCACCAGGCCTTTGAACAGCTGTTGATTGAGAGTTTGGAGAAGTTTATCAGGAGGGAGGCTCAGGAAAGATCGTTAGAGAGTGATGGGGATGATGATATGGAGACAGAAGATGATGATTACTCGAACAAAAACAACACTAGAGTCCTAGTTGCTCCAAATGGAAGTGTTTATTCACTTGGCATGCCCCTACTGGCTGAGTTCCAGGAAACCGGTAACCACAACTATTGTGGTTCCACTGAGGCAAGCACTTCTTGTTCTTCTCCTTCTGAGGTTATTGCGAAATCAGGGTCGTCGGCAGATCCACTTGATCCTGAGCAGAGTCTTGATCGGGAACTATCTTTTATTCGAAAAGCTAAAGAATCAGGGGTTGTGTATCTTCTGGGACACGGAGATATTAGAGCAAGAAAGGATTCCTGGTTCATCAAGAAGCTAGTCATTAACTATTTCTACGCTTTTCTGCGAAAGAACTGCAGAAGAGGGATTGCCAATTTGAGTGTCCCTCACTCCAATCTGATGCAGGTGGGCATGACATACATGGTCTGACTTGGTTTTCAAGTGACTGAAGTGGTTGGTTCTAGTAGCACAAGACCATAAAGGAGGAATTGTGTGCCATACTGATTAGCCTGTTCAACTGGTTATATGCCCATCAATGATGATTCATAGTGTGTGTGTGAGTACCCCCATTCTTTTGTTGGACTATCTGGACTATGAAATACTTGTGCACATGCGATTGCTGCGCTGGATCTGTCGCCCTTTTTTCTTTCAGCAAGTTTTGATATTGGTAGGTCAGTGTCTTGTAATTGAATGGAAACCGCTTGTGGCTGAATGGCCAGTTTGTAGAATCAAATTTCATCTACCAGTTACTATGTTAAGTAGTGGATAGTTGAATGCAGCCTGCTAGTAGACGACGAGCTCCTCTGTTGTAGAACCAAGTTCTTGTTCCTCCCTCAACATCAAATTGACATGAACTGCATATCTATAACTTTTTTTTTTTTTTTTTTTTTGCATTCGATTCGAGGAGCGGTTTATGCTTTCTTCCTGGATGATTCTGTGGCTCTGTCAAACAACATACTTATTATGCTTGATGATGTCTTTATTGATCACCCTCGTGTAATACTTATAATGAGTTGACGACTTCTTATGCAAGCAAGTAGCCATGGTGGGGCACGAATCTCCACAAAAGATAATGGTGGAGCAACCAACCATGAAAACAAATATAACTAAAAATTGTCATGCTATTCGCTTCCCTTCTGTCTCTGCAGTTCATGATCGGGAGCTTGCTCGCCAGTCTCTGCAGTTCATAATCTTTCTATCTTGCATTTCTCCATCTATTGTGCGTAACGGGGAGTATTGGGATATTCTGCTTGGGAGACGCTTTTCGATCTTGCTGCTTCGATGAGAACTTGAGCCTTAGAAGCAATGAATTTGTCATCACTCCTATAGAACTCAATCCCATCAGGGCTCCAGCTATAGATGGAGTCAGCATTGTGCCAGTGACGGGGAGTAACACTCCAGCAGCTATTGGGATCCCAACCTGCACCACACAGTTTACCCAGAGTCCTGTCACTTGGTTCAATCAAATTCTTCTAATATCAGATCAAGTATTTACCTATGGTTTTTAAAACTTACGATGTTGTAGCCAAAGGCCCACCAGAGATTCTGCTTTATGGTCTTCATTGTTAGTTTGCTGAGCTCCAATGCATCAAGCAACTGAGTAAAGGGAAACGAAGCAAATCAATCGATTGCCTTGAACAAAATAACCAAAGGTCATTACCAAAAACTGTCTATTAGTTATCATGACAACAAATGTGTACGTATTTGTTGGCGTCTCTACGAACAAAGAAGAAGATGCAATGAAAGAACTAATTGACAGCAGCATGCTCAACCACAGTTCCAAAGCTGTATCATCATATGGCTTTTGATGTATAGGTAGGTACGTAGCGTAGGTAGTACCTGTGACAGCCTGTTGCCCATTAGTACAACTGAAGATACCTCAGTAGCAGCTCCAACTCCTCCTCCCATGGCAATTCCAATGTGTGCTGAAGCCAATGCAGCAGCATCATTGATTCCATCCCCAACCATGGCTACCAAGTGCTGATCCATCTGAAGCTCATTAATGAACTTCTTCTTTTGATCCGGTTTAACTCCAGATACCACCTGAAATCATCTCCACGCCCAAGTTTCAAATTTTCATTTTCAATTCAGCATAGTAAAAACAAAGTGAGTCCAAAAAAGAAAAGGAAGCAAGGAGAATCTCAAAATGCACATCCTATCAAACTGTTCTCGTTGCAATTTTGGAGTAAAAGAAGCTTTTCCTACCTTCTCTTGTGGAATACCAACAAGTGATGCAACATACTCAGCAGCACTCTTTTTGTCACCAGACAGCATGTAAACATTAATTCCTCGACTAGTCAAAGTCTGAACTACTTGTCTGGCATCTTCCCTAATCTGATCTTCAAAATATATCAGACCAGCAAGTGCATTATCTACGCCGACGTAAACAACGGACTGATTTTTAGTATCCTCTGCTTCCTCAAATTTATCATAAAATAGATTGTCATCAACTCCGTTCCTGCCATAGCAATAAGTGTACTTGCCATCAATATATTTCATAGGAACAAAAATCTTAATAGGTACTACAGAAACACAAAAGTTACAGTTAACATACCTCCGAACCCATTCAAGCGTTCCGACAGACACTTTCTTATCATCAACAATTGCTACAGCACCAGAACCTGGCTCCTCAGCAAATGTGCCATCTGTTGCCTACACAGTAGTGTTTTATTGTATTACACTTCAAAACTAAAATAAGAAAAAGTACTAGAAAATAAGAAAATTATCATCTGGTTTAAGAATAAAACTTAAACGACACAAGATTAACTGAGTTCACTCATGTCCGTCACGGTTATAGGACATAGCGCAAAGAAACCATTTTTCTGGTTGCAATTTCGTTATCAAGTCCTAGTTTTTACTTGAGAGCTTCATCATCCTTGGAATTACTTTTTATCAAAAGTAGGAAACTACAAAGGGGTGGAGAGGAGGAAAGATACCATCCTGTAATGTAACAACAAAGACACCATCCTGAAGTTACAGTTAGACATCAAAGGTTGAGCATTTATTTGTAAGATAAGAGATACCTTATGATTGCGGACACCGGCAACTTTAGCAGCTTCAACTATGGCCTTTCCAACTGGATGGACAGTATTATACTCTACTCCGGCAGCTAATTTAAGCACTTCAATCTCCGACCAGATGCGTTTTTCATAGGGCCTGCAGAGGACATGCCAATTGTCTAACTTAGATTGCAATTGAGCATCGATATCAATGATTTTACCAATTCTGTACCACCGCCTACTGGATAAAGTTCACTTAAAGAAAGTGGCAACTTAATTTCAGCCTTAAACACTCAACTGGGATGATTGATCTTCTTCTGACCCAAGAGTAACAATCTTTCTTACAACCGGTTTGCCAACTGTGAGAGTCCCTGTTTTATCGAACACTACAGTGTCCACTGTGGCAAAATTCTCCAAAATATGCCCACCGCGTAGAAGCAATCCCCGTCTTGCCCCCAATGAAGTTCCTACCTTCGATAATTTATAGAGATAGAGATGAGATAAGAGAGAGGGAAAAAGGTCAGGGGGACTTATCGCTGGACCGTGCCCAATACACTTGGACCAAGTTTATTGACATGGAACTGGGGAAATGGTAATAGAAACTCTACCAGAACAGCTGTAGGAGTTGCCAAACCAAGAGCACATGGACAAGCAACAACCTGTAGTTCCGACATAGATGTTATGAATAGAAGAATGCAAATGGTTACTGTAGAGATAAAAATCTTATTTACATGGCATTCATTATAGACACAGAAGCGTCCATTAATTTTCATGCATCTGACCCTCGAAAGAAAAGGAAGTAGAGAGGGACAAACATATCATACCATAACACTGCAAGCAAGCTGTAGGCCAAGTGAAACTGCATTCCCTTGGTGGAGAGCTGCAGGTAGAATACGTGTCCCAAAGAGATTCCAGAACAGAAAGGTACTGGCTGACAGTGCCATCACTCCGTAAGTGAAGTGCCCAGAGACCTATCAAATTAGGATACGCGATAAAAATAATCTTCGCAAGATCATAAGAACTTCAAGTACAAAAGGATTGTGCTTGCAATACAAGGTACACACGGAGCATCTTCTCAGCCAACAGTTCCTCTAATATAAATTAGCACTAATGAGGGCCAACAATATAACACATTTATGAAAATGAAAGAAACCTTATCAGCCAATCGCTGGACAGGGGCTTCTCTGCTTTGGGCTTCTTCTACCAATCGCACAATATCACCTATGGATGTCTCACCACCTGGCCTCCGCACTTCCACTGTCAGTGTACCATTTAGATTTATACTTCCCGCTGCTACTTCACTCTACCACAGAGACATCAACACAGTTCGACATAATATGCTTAATGTCACAAATTACAGAAGAAATGTTGTGCCTATGGACAAGACAAGAACATAAAGAAAATGGTAACATGCTATAACCACTTTACCCCAGGAAGTTTGGTCACTGGTAACGGCTCCCCTGTGAAACTTGACTCATCAATGGAACTTCTACCAGCTCTAACCATTCCATCCGCTGGAACACGGTCCTGAAGCAATGTAAGAGCATTGTCAATATTACAGATCAGCTCATTTTTTTCTATCTAAAATTGGATAGATCAGTTGCAAATCTAGTTTATATTGTAGTATTATTAGTCAAACATTACAAATTTTAAATTTTAAAGTTTAATGATAAAGTCAACTTTTAGAGTTAGTTGCTTGATATGCACTCAATTTTATGAGTGTACCGTAGAAGGAACCATATACATATAATGTCGTAATAAATATTGTCTATTTCTCATATGCATCTATATCTCTGCAGCAGTCTACCATAAACCCACCATCAAACTTTACCTACATGCGCAATAGTTAAGTTAAATTCACAAGTTCAAACTTCATCCAATTTTAAGTACCTCCTACAGTTCCAGGACTTTGATGTGATGTGCTACCATGGTTATAATCAAATCCATGAAACTGATGCCTGGTAAATAAAGCCCTTAAAAGGACACAAAAGTACATGGAGGTATTACTTACTCCAGGCAGAACAATAATGTGGTCCCCAACAGAGAGACTAGTACAAGGAACTTCAACAACTGAATCTGCATCCTTACTAGAGCCATCAATTAAAAGACGGGCTTTCGTAGGTAAAACACTTAAAAGTCCAGTCATATCACTGGTTGCCTCAATCTTAGCTCTCTGTTCAAGATTCCTGCCTAACAAGACAAATGCTATTAACATGATTGGCTCCTCGAAAAATGCCTTCCAGCCCTGATTATTCAGAAATCATTCAAAGAAAAAAAGTAAGCTGGCCAAGTTATGAATAATACCGAATTAACAATATTAAGTCACAGGCAAGAGAGTTCACATAAAGGAATATAGAGGAACTTGACTAAATCATAACAACATCCAGTTTGAATGATTCATGAAATAGGACCTCGGGCAACATTTAGCGATAACTGTCAACTAAACAGAAGTATAGATTGCCGAACCCTGTTTTCTTTCAACTTGGAGAGCCATACATGTTAGTGCATAGAGCATGAAATTCAAACAACCTTGATCGGAGAGGTTACTCACCAGCTTGGGTATTAAGGCAGCAAATGTGCTAACAGTGAAGGAGGATAAAGCACCAAGGCCAACTAATGTGTTCATGTTTGGAGCTCCCTTCAGAAGGCTTCTCATTCCATCAATAATAAGTTGACGCCCTGGGCCAAGCAACGTAAATAACGACAATGACAGGTGGAATCCTGTTGAATGAAGTAAGTGGACCCACGAGGCCTTATACGCAAAAAAATGAGACAGATGGCCGATCAGGCATACGGCACAGAGAGCCCAAGACACCGCAAGTTCACGACCTATATAAGACAAAAAAATAAGAGGTAATGTTCAATCAGTAAAACATACTTCTAATCAATGCAAGTAACAATATCAAAATTCACAAGGATCGGGATTAAATCTGTAAATACATGCAAGTAACAATATCACACTATCCTGTTGCAACCTTAACCAAAATATTTAGCCACACGTCCATTAGATGAAGACTTAAAACATATATTGGGTGTAACAAGATATTACCACTTTCTTTCAAACGATTATGTTTTTCTTTCATTTTCCTGTCAAAAACTTTGAAGAAATTCTCTCTGTTGCCATCTGCAAGAAAAAGAAGTCAATTTCAGTATCGTACTATTAAGTACCAAAAAATAGTATCTTACCACCCCATTGAAGAGAAAAGAGGAACAGGCAAAACAAGAAGCTTGAAAATAAAATAAAAAACTTCAAATGACAGTCATCTTAGGAACATTTCTTCAGAAATCTAATGAGCACAATTAAGTGCATTATTAAAGTGCTTCAAAGACCATAAGCACTTTAGGACATCTGCAATTGCATTTTATAAAAAATTTGTAACACTGTATAAATAGCTCATCTCTTTGTGACATGCTTCGGAATCTAATAGATCATGATTACAAGTTGCAGCCATTTAATGTCAACACTGATTTGAATTTATCAACAAAAACCAATACTTTCTTCAAAGCAATTCTTATGTTCTGCCGAAGTTCAAAGCTAAAAGAAAAAAAGGACAACATAATCAAAAAGAGATTTTTCTTTGCCATGAAGTTGTTTTCAGGCAGTAGTAATAATCAAGGATCGATCTCATTCCACAGTATACTCTGTCATAGATATACCAATGTGATTATATAACATCAGGTTTTATCTGAGGAATTGCTTCACCAAGCACAAAAGAGTCATTCTTCTCTAAAAAGCTGGCAGGCTCTCTCAGCACACATTCTACAAAGGGAATGCAGAACTAGGGATACAAAATCATGCACCGCCAATCATTCCTTCTAGCTCTGTCTTCTCTTAATTTGTATCTTCAAATGATCACATGAGTGCGCTTAAAGACTGAATACAACAACAGGCAGTAGCCCCACAAATTGGTACTTTATTTCAAAATAAACATAAAATGATCCAGATCATCAGAGACAGAGCACAAGGCGCAGTAGAAACTGAGGAAGAAGGAAAATATCTGCTAGTTCTGACAAACTGTTGGAAGACTCACTGTCTCTGGCATATAAGTCCTCGCATACAAACCATCTTAAATGCAACTATTGAACACAGGAACCAACGTTTTTCATTATTAAAAAGTGATTGCTAATAGCCCTATTGACAACTAGATAACTGAAAGTCCACATGGCAAGCCAGCAAATTTCCATGTTGGCATCTTCGCATCAGAATCTCTCATCAACCACCCAAACTCAGGTAGCTCCTTACCCACCTATTAATCGAAGGGATAAATAAGGAACATTAGTTGCTAGTCTAGACTTCCTCTGAGATCTCAGAAAATGGTAATATGACAAAGACTTTACTTCTCATGGAACTGAAACTGGATACATTAGGGACATACCTAATCATGTTTGTTTCTCTCGACAGGAAATCTTTCACATTCTAATTATCTCCATCAACAGCTTCCTGACCTGCGACTAGCCCACCAAACTTTAGTGCATCATATGGAAGCCCCAAATGTAGTGAAATGTTTCTCTAATTAGCGATCAATAAGATAGCAGATTGGTGTTCTGGATTTGTATACGCTCAAGTCCTTTAAGAAGTTGCAACTCATAATACGAGTTCCTATTTGTCTAATCACTGCAAATGTTACATTGGAGCTGTCTCTTAACACAAGTCACTTGGGTTGCCTAGACCTATACAGTTTGATGGAGAATAAGTAATTTCTTTTCAAGAACCAAACATGAATACAACATCATATCCAACTGGAAAAACCTGGAGACCTTGGAAAACTCAAACTAGTTTCCTTTCATGTCACACATGTTGTGGCAAAGCAACAATACAGTTGCCCATGGAAAACAGTTGGTACGCCAACATACGTAATTGGTAAACCTTGCGAGACTCTGAAAACCTTAATATCATGCTGTTGACGTAACTTGAAGACTTTGCCACACATGAAGCTAGCAAATCTCAAGGGACAATTACCTCGAGGGTTTGACGTGAAACCACAACTAGTCAGGTGCTTAGACAGTGCCTCGCCAAGCTGTTTTTGCCAATTTGGTATCACTTTTGCTTCAGAGATGGGCCACACTATTGCAGTCTCTGTTGTGAGATTGACGCTAGCAGAAGACACTTGTGGCTGTCCACAAACATGGAAAATCGGGTACAGATCAATATTGCAGAAATTAGACTAAAAAGCTCTAGTTCAGAAACCCACGAGAGCAGATATATATATAAGCAATTGTCAATACACCATACTACAGACTTCTGAAACCAGCTACGGAATAGCCAACCACACTAAATCTCTAGCATTTCTAGTGACATGCTTTGGACGTCAGAACTTCCAAAATTTCACAAGTCAGCTTATAGAGCAGGTTTTTGAATGACTTGACTATTTGTAAGCACTATGTAGCAGACACTCACTTGGTTTTCCAATATTCTCTTGACACTGGCTGCACATCCTCCGCATGTCATTCCCTGCGCCATCAACAATGCACATTAACATTGCTGGCAAAAGTGATTATTTGGTGAAACAATGGCTGGAACAAGTAATCAAAAGTAGACAAGAAGGCCGAAGATTCTTACTCCAACATCTAATATGATAACATCGGAGGACAATACGGAGCCTTCCTCCGGCCCGGCACCAATCAAACTCGACTTCACATCTCCACCGTCCGATCCGCCGCCTCCACCGCCACCGCCACCGGCGTCGCCGCCTTCACCACTCCCGCCGCCCCCAGAAGTTGCAAAAGACGCGGCCGAGATAGGACCGCTCTGCAGACGCTGCCTGAGCAATGGAAGGACCGAGGACAAGGTTCTCAAGTTCCGAGGATGAGCAGCAGCAGAAAGGAAAGCAGCTGCGCCGTACTGAGCAGGAATTGTTCCGAACGGACGATTGGCCAGTCGAGCCGAGAGAAGGGAGTGGTACTTGCGGGTTAAACCATGGTTTAGGGCTTTGGAGATGGTGAAGACAGCTAGCGTGGTTGCTGCGGAGGAAGCCTCCATTGTTACGGGTCACGCAGATGAAGAACTTGCTGAAGGGACGAAACAGCGGAAACCAGTCAATTTTTATTGGTTGTGACTTGTGAGTTGTGACTGATAGTTTCAGTATTTTTTTATAAGAAATTAACAACCTGTTTTTTTTTGCTGGGATATTCCGCGAGAAAAACGTGTCGGTTGGTATTTGAGTAGGGATGGTAAGGGATAATGTCAAATGACTAAGGCACAAGGGGTCCCTTAGTCATATGACTAAGCCAATTTTAACCATTCAGCTTCATTAAAATTTGATGGTTCTAATTTATCTTGTTTAGTGAAGGACAAGATTGTAATTACACATTTTATTTATTTAAAAATTAAAATAATAAAAAATATTCAACCGTCCCTCCACCCTCCCGTCGCGGTCCTTTTTGGGAATTCTTCCGTCGACGTTGCAACGCGAGTCCGGCGGCGGCAACACGAGTCCGACGGCATGGCAACGTGAGTCCGACGGCTTGGTCCTCTCCTGGGGATTTTTATTCCCACCAGAGGGGAGATTTATATCCCAACAGAGAGCTTTCGTGGGGATTGCCATTTTCCTGGGGATTTTTCCCCAGCAGGTACGAGAGAGAGAAAGAGAGAAAGAGATATTTTCTGGTCATAATTTTTTTTTTCAGCGACCATCGTCGACGGAGAAGAATTTTCCGGCGACAGTGCCAATTTTGTGATGTTTGTTGACATATTTTGTAATGTTTGTACGCTTTGTTATTTTGTAATGTTTGTAAACTTTGTTATTTTTGTGCACCATGTTTATCATTTTTGTCAACCATGTTTGTAATGTTTTTTATGTCTAAAAAACAACCTGGTTGACTTTTGGATGGAACTTCTCTAAATAGGGATGGAGCCTCCAAAGTCAACCCGAGTGTTTTTTCCAGTTCGTATGGATTGTCGGTCTAGTTTGTCATTTTTGTCCACCATGTTCGTAATGTTCGTATGTCTAAAAAACACCCGGGTTGACTTTGGGAAGAAGCCCCTCTATATAGGGATAGAGCCTCCAAAGTCAACCTAGTTTTTTCTTTTTGTATGGTTTGTATTGTTTGTCGGTCTAGTTTGTATTTTTTGTACAGTTCATATGTTTGTAATGTTTGTAAATCTGTTTGTATGTTTTGTCGCTCTAGTTTGTACTGTTCGTATGTCTGTATGGTTTGTACTAATTGTAAGCCCGGTTTGTATACTTCGTAATTTTCCATAGTACCCAAACTACCCCTGTCATTAATTAAATAGCTCTTCCCACTTTTTAACCATAAGATTGATGTGCCCAGATCTAAGGGCTGGGAGGGGCTTAGTCAAGTGACTAAGCACCCCCCCTTAGTCACCGGATCTGCACTCGGGATGGGGATGGTAATGAGTCGGGTTGGGGCGGGTTTAATCAAACCCAAACCCAAACTCATGGGTTTATCCGCCAAAAAAGCCCGGGGTAAAACCCGTTGGGTTTGAAAAACTCAAACCCAACCTGTTGGGTATCCGCGGGTTCATGGGTACCTGTGGGTTTTTGTGGTAAAAAAATTTACAATAACAAGTTTATTTCAAAATAAAAGTTCAACATCAATTTTCTCATACAAATTATTCATACAAAAAACACCAATCTAGAGCATACAAGCAAACCGCAAATGATCAATACAAATTGTTCAAAATTAAAGATAAACATCTATAAACAATAAAATTAATTGGAAGCTTCTTCCTCGTCAACTAAGTTTCTTCACTCTTCACTTCATAATATCAACTTCATTCTAAACAATTAGAAAGAACAAATTATACATGTCTCCACAAACATAAAGAATATTAGTTGTTTAAGGAAGATATATTATTTAGAATATTAAATATACCGAGAAATTAATTATATGTGTGTGAGCGGGTACCCATGGGTCGGGTTTACCTAAACCCAACCCGACCCGGTGAATAATGTAGTCGGTTTAAACCCGAACCCGGCCCAAAACTCGTCAACACAGGTTTTACCCGCGTTGACCGAGTTGGGTCGGGTGGATACCCGTGGGTTCGGGTTTTTTTGCCATCCTATATTTGAGAGAGTTTTGAGAGAGGATTGTATTTAACAAATAAGTTGTTTTTCTGTTTTTATTTGGGCTAATTCCACAACTATTCATCAATTTTGAACTAAATTATTCAATATGGCAATCCTGACATGAACTATTTTTGTATTAGTATTGACTAGGGGTGGCAGTCGGTCGGTTTCGGTTTAACCGAAAACCGAATTATCGGTTTCGGTTAAACCGAACATTCCCCCATGTCTGCCGACCACCGACCGTGAGAGAAGTCGCGGTTAGCCGATCACCGACCGATCGGTTTTCAGTTCTGGTTCGGTTATACCGCAACAATCGAATTTATTAAAAAAAAAAGAAAGGAAAGGAAGAAAAAAACCCAATACCCACCCCACCCACGTTACTTCTCTGCTCTCTTGTCAGATAAGATTAAATCCAATACTCATCCCACCCACCTCTTCTTCTTCTCTCCTCTCCCTACCACTAAATTCTTATCTTCTTCCTCCTTCTCTCTCCTTCTCTCTCCTGCCTTCCTCCAAAAAGAACCACCAGAGGGCAGAGACCAGCCCTTTTCTTCCTTCTCTCTCCTTCCTCCATTTCAAACCCACAAGCCACAACAGTCGATCACTCCTTCCTTCTCTCTCCTTCCTTCATTGCAGATTTAGACACCACGGCGGCCGGTCGCGGAGGAGAAGCAGAGGCACACCGGCGGCCACGGAGGAGAGCGAAGGGAGACATCCCCGGCGCAGGGAGAGGCGAAAATGGAGAGGGAAGGGATGGCGATGGGAGACGCGCGGATGCCTGGGGTTGTCGGGGATGGGAGATGGCGATGTCGGAGAGGAATCGGCGAGGAGAAACGATGCTATCTCTGACTCTGGCTCGTGGTGCCCGGCCATCGAGGAGGGCGGGGAGGGTGGCTGGGGTTTGGATGGCGGAGGGCTGGGATTTGAGTACGAAGAAGAAAGAATTAGGGTTGGGGTTTTATTAAAAGGATGGTTGGTCGGTTATGTTCGGTTAGTCGGGTAACCGCGGTTAATCATCCTCGGTTACTCGGCTAGCTAAAAATCAGCTTTATTCTACCGAACACCGACCGAGGCAAATAACCATCGGTTTTCGGTTAGCTACTAAGAGGCAGTTATCGATTGAATCGGCCGGTTAGCCGCTAACCGGAAACCAAACTGCCACCCCTAGTATTGACCAGTGTTGATCGTTAGTATTTAACAAAAAATTAACTCAACACTGATGTGGCATCTAACATGTAGTTTTCATATTATTTTTTATTTATTTTCCAACTCACTAAAATAATAATAAAAGAAAAGTCACTCAACCACTTTTCACAAGAAAAATGAAATCTTCCCCTGTGAAATAATGGCCAACAAATGCCGAAGGTAACATAGCCTGGCTGGTGAAACCGCTGGCCTGGTTGGCTCATGAAGTGAGAGGACCGGAGTTCGATTCCCAGCGGCGCCGCTTGTGTGTTCCCGGAGGCATCTCTGAGTGCTGGGGACAAAGTCCCTCGATATTGTGTCTTGTACAGGTGCTCTCCAGGTTTGGTAGACCCCGCTGTCTTGGGTTATAAAAAAATGGCCAACAAATCTGCCACCGCCTTCTCGTCCTTCTCCTTCCTCCGAATTTCAATCTGTCTTCCCCACCGCATCCGGGTTTGTCACCATGGAGCCGATCGAAGACGCGGTGGTGGTGGTGGATGCATCCGTCGTTGATCTCTCCTCGTATTGGGCGTTCATAAACGAGTCTGATGCCGACTCCTCGGATACTAAGTCGTTGCTCAACGACGAGAAGACGATAGAGATGAAGAAACTGTGGAGCGTTTTTGCGACAGCGGCGGCGCCACCGTGGATGGCAGGGAAGGTGATAGTGGCGAAGTCGAGGTCCGGGAAGTTGGACCAGAGGAGGCGCCAGCGTCTGGAGAAGACAGTGGTCTGCGCAATGGATCTGACGTCGTCACCCGACAGGAAGCAGAGATATTTCTTTCGTATGTGGTTGTACTTAGTTTTACTTCAAAACTTTTATAAACTTAATTTAATTTGCAGAGGTTCATTGGGTTTTGGTGAGGAAGCATTGCAGTCTCTTATATACAAAATGTCCAATTACATCCAAAAGTTTAACGGAAAGATATTAAAACGCTGAATAGACTAACGTTTTTCTGATTTGGCAAAACAAATTGCCATGTGGATTTGTGAAAGTAAAAATAGAAAATCTAAATCTAAAATAGGCTAGTGAAAAGCCTGTGGCTCCATCGTCATCGTCTTCTTCCTTCATTCTTTCCTTTCGTCGCTATCCTCCCACTGCCAACCAGTGCTACGAAACAACGACAGGAAGCCGGAAGGCAGGAAAGATGTGGGAGCTCGATCTCATTTGTGGATCTCGATTCGGCGTAGCGCTACGCACGAAGACGATGTCAAGCGGCGGAGGAGTCAGGATTTGGATCGGATCTGATGAAGAAGGGAGAAGCTTGGGAAGAAGCACTCAATCTCGACGAATCTGACATCCCTTCTCTCTGATATCACTAATGGCACCACATACATCAAGAAACCCCGCCACCATTGTTGGTAGTCTCTCCCAATCCCAACCATTTCTGAGGCAGCATTCGATGGAAAAAGTTAATCTGCTAACAAGCTTTTTGGTTAGTATATACTCACATGGCCAAATTGATGGCCACATAGGCAAAGCTAAGATCCAAGGGTTGGAGCTCAATGGCTGAAAGAAGGGGTCATTTAAGTGGAGTTTGGTGGCTTCTTGACTAAGAGCCAAGCTAACCAATAGAATCACTATCCAAAATGAAAAAACACTAATATCCAAGCTTCTCCCTTCTTCATCAAATCCGGATCCAAATCTTGACTCCTCCACCACTTGACATCGTCGTCGTGCGTAGCGGTACGCCAGATCGAGATCCACAAATGAGATCGAGCTCCCACATCTTGCCTACCTTCCAGCTTCTCGTCGTTGTTTCATAGCAACGCTTGGCAGTGGGAGGATGGCGACGGACGAAAGAATGAAGGAAAAAGACGAAGACGACGGAACCATAGGCTTTTCACTAGCCAATTTTAGTTTTTGATTTTTGATTTTTATTTTTACTTTCACAAATCCACATGGCAAGTTGTTTTGCCAAGTAAGAAAAACGTTAGTCTATTTAGCGTTTTACTATCTTTCCGTTAAACTTTTGGATGGAATTAGATATTTTGTATATTTTTCGAAAAATGGTTATTATTGACAAAAACGTGAAAGTTCTGTCTATACAAATTTATTTTGCCGGCCATTATAAAAAAAAACAAACTGCAAGGCTTGTTTGACGATAACTATATGAATACTGTTCTACAAATATCAAGAGCAAAGATGTGGAGAGGGGGGAAATCACGTATCAACAAAAACTCTGCCCCAATTCCTTCTTCTCCTGTGTAACTCCTAACTATGGAGCTCTCCAGAAGTATAGTGATAGTCACGCGAAGTTCTCAAAGAAACTCTACAAAAATAGTCCTAATTTAATTTCTTCAACTATTAAACATTCTAATTCGAACATTGTTCAAACAGATAAGAAATGGTAACATCGTATTGGTTGCCAAAAGTCAGGAGTACAATTCCATAAATCAACATTGTGACAGTTCCCACAGGAGAGATCAAAATAGGAATCACAATTTCACACTCGCTATTCATAAAAGTACATATACATACAAACACCAAATCTTAATGGTCGTTTCCACCGGCACCAAGGATCCATTGTGCAAGATGAGTCAAATGTGGCTCTGCTTGGGAATTCCTGCTCAAGACCGGTCCTAGACTCTGAAGTTCAGAATTGAAATCCCGCTCGAATTTCCTGAGATGCAGTAGCAAGAAGTGAAGGAGGAAAGAGCAGGCAGTGAAACCACAGAAATTGGGAACTTTAGCTCATGTATAAGAATGTATGCAAATATGTATGTGCTTCTGACTTACAGTATAGAATCCATAACAGCGGAGTTCTGCTTCGGGGCTCGTAGCGCTATCGAAGGGCCTCTTAATTTCCCTCGTCCCTTGCGCTTTTCTAAAGCACGGGAACCCTCATCAGCTATGTCAATGGATGATGATATCAGCCACTGAGTTGCAGCAGCATACTGTAAGCACAATGATTTCAGCCTGTCGACCTTCTGCGATTGTCACTTACACGTATAAGCCTCACATCAACTGACTTGTGATGATATACAATAGCTATACAGTTAGTTTCCGTGCCACCAACAAGCAAGGAATTGTTTAATAGAGGGATTTATCAGCTATTAATTTTTCGACGAACCTTGAGCAGTACAGGTGACAAGAGCAAACACTCTGTTAAACACTTGCCCAGAAAAAGATCATGATGTTGGATAACCTGCCAATTCAGAAAAGAGCAGAGTCACACAAATAAATAAACGTATCACACCTCTACATGTATAGTATACACCAACTGACGGACTAGTGTCCAATATAATCTAATAAAACATCATACTTCGTCTATGCTCCTTGCGGCCTGAAGTCTATTATACATCACATGCCAGTTAGGTTCCAGTACCTGAAAAACAAATCGAATCAAAGCTCTATGTATTAATCAAATCGAATCAAAGCTCTATGAATTAATGTCGGATCCTGGATTCAACAAGAAATAAAATGACAGTTTTAGGACAAGAGGTTGATATCAAAACCCCCCCAAATCATCCTCCATTCTCAAGGCAATGTTATCCTAGTTGTTTAACAAACATTTTTTGACCAACTTTCAAATACCAGAGAACCATCTCCTTTGAGCTCTATTAAGCACATGTAAGAATAATAATTTAATCAAGGCCTTTACAAAACGAAGCTGATTGTAAAAACCAGGCACTATCAGCTGCCAGACCAAGAATCCCATGAAACTAGATAAGAGTTTTATGTCCAACAATGTTCCGTAGATTAATCAGAATCACTTTCAAGTATTGAGTAGGCTAAGACAGAAGCAACATGGATATGCACAAGAGAAGTATACCCAGCAACATGGAAAAGTCAAAACTAAAATGGTTTTGAGGGAAAATAACAACATGGTCAGACAATGAAAGCTTCATTCATGGACAGGCAACAAATTCCAAAGGGTTCAGAGGGAGGCAAAACAAGAGCACCCAACTGAAAAAAAAATATTGTTATTTCTGATACTTCCACCATGTCCAATCTACCACAAGTACTGAGAATATAGACAGGTCAAACCTGCCTCGAAAGTTAGATAGTGTAGAAGACTATGGATGAATTTCAGCATACTACGGCACAGAAGGGATGATCTGGAGATTGCTGTTCCCTGTATCTTGAGGACACGAACTCCCTGAAAAAGCATGAGTAGAGCAAGTGAAATCATTATAGGGAAAATGATGCAGGAAAAAATGATCTTACTAGATTAATTTAGAAATGGGAAACATACTTGATGCAATTGCCAAGCCCCAGAAAGCTGCCGGTCTACATGTTTACAATGAAAAAGAAACCGGAAAATCAACTGGTACTTCGTTAGGGCTCTTTTTGAGATAACAATCGACAACGGCCATTGAACCTGATCAGTCAAGACAACATTCAATGAACAATAACAAACTCTACACCATATTCCACGATAGTACTGACATACAGGAACTGCTTCATTTAAAAAATACTGAATATGTGAAATAAACTTGTTACATGGGATCTCAAAGGAATTTCAAGAACTAAACCTTATAACTTAAAGAGAATGTCTCTAGACCGGTAATGGTTGTTGGTTCTTCTAAATCATCATCAGTGCCCGAAACAGTAACTTCAAGATCGTTCAGACTACCAAATCCTTTGCGCAGAGTAGATCTTTCCTGAAAACAAGTGTGAATAAATCTTGAGACTTCTAACTTGATAATCTAGCCTCTTATAGGAGAGGGAAAAAGAAACAAAAGTTTGGGGTGGAACTCTTACAACACAACATGTCAAGTCCTCGTGGCAAGGGTCTGCTGCCGCAGCTGTAGTACGCAAAGCAAGGTCTAGCAGAGACTGTTACAATACAAAGGAATTGTGGCATTCACTAATATGATATTATTATCCTTAATTTCCTTTCAACTTATGGTTTCATTTATAAGGAACATATAGAGCTCCCCACCTGTAGCTTCTCCACTGAAATATCATCAAGCTTTTTCATGAGTTCCTCTCGTGCTATGTCCATGAAATGAACCAAGAAATCACCCTGACACAGTATGTTAAAATTAACAGTCTTCAATAAGTTCAATGGGGTTACCATTTCTCAGCCACAAGGGAAAACATAATATATGTTGAATGGCATCTCAAATTATTCCAAACCATTAAAGAAATCCAACCAGATTTAGAAGAAGAAAAAAAGTTCAGTTTTTTGTTCTATGAGCAATTCTAATTTCTTTTCTCCCACATGGTCAGACAAATAGGGTTCCACCACATCCTCTGCTGTTACAAAATACAAGATAGTATGTTCGTTTGTATCCATATGACTGCATTTGCAATAGAGATAACCACAGCTTTTATCATCACAATACTAATACATGACATGGGTGACCACCTTCTACACAGCATCACAAACTAGAAATGATCTACCAAAAGTCAGGTTTGACAGATCAGAATACCTGATCAAGAAGGAGGTAGTGCTTAATTGACCGCAGCTTCCCCATTAGATCATACTGCAAAAGAAAAAGATAATAGTTACTTCACTCAGAGTATTGAAAGCAACAGCTACTAGACTATAGTACTGAATACGAAAAAGTGATGGAAAGGCATGAAGTACTCAATGAAATAGTAGTAACCTTTTCTTTAATGAGATTTAAGAGCTCATTGCCTGCAAACTCATAAGCAGCTTTGATACACTCGAGATAGTGATGGTCTGAGCCAAAGCTTGTTAGCTTAGAATTCTCCGAGGCAGGAACCTGCTACGGCAGTAATAGGATAAAAAATATGCACCAATCCTGGTACGGTTGAAAAGAGAAAGAGGCTTCTTCCTTCTCAAAAAGGTGCAAGAATACAGTCAAGGATAATGGAAACAAGAACCTGAACATTATGTCCGCATTCTCTCATGACATTTAAGTATTTTCCCGTTGTCAGAATTATCCCCGATATATTTTCAAGGAAGCTGGGAATCCCTTCCTTAAGGCTGTATCGTTGCCGCCAATACTTAGCATCATAATCCTCAGTGAGGCTCTCCTGAAAAACAACAGATTTTGCAGGTTTCAAACAATTTGTTTTACTAGTAAACTCAAACAAAGCTGGCTCACCTTATGAAGAGATTTGTTTTCAGCAATAAAAAATTCGCCATAAGGATCTTCAATTACTCCTTCATACACCCACCTACATAAGATATGTTGATTAAGAGTGGCCAAAACAAAGTCAAAGTAGCAAGCTAAAGTACCAAAAAACTGAAATATACATATAACAAGAACAAGAAACACAGAAGCTTTTCACAAGCCTGATCCAGGAAAGCATTGAGAAGCATGCCAGGAAGCAGAGCACTTTTCAACAATATCTCCAGTCCTATTACCTCTCTAATATCCCAAGATATGCATTACTTGCACATTCTGTCATCTTTTCTAGTAGTGACCTCACGGCATTATCACCAGCCATTGCTTTTGCCTGGACACAGCAAAACGTGAGGTGATAAGGCTCACAAAGCTCAAGGAGTTGAGTTATAAAAAAATGTTAAGCTGTTAATACAATAGAGAACCCAAATCTTCAACCAAAAAGACAAACTAGCTAACACACCAATATGATGCATTTTGTAATTTGTTAGAGAGGCTGTCAAGTTGTAAGTTTGACTACTGCTTGTCTGTAAAGTAAAAATAAGATAGGATATCTTGCCTGGCTCTGCAAGAGGTTCAAGACTGATGAACCTAAGAAATTATTAGCTGATGCCTTCTGAACCACAATGGTCAATGCTTGCATGGAAGGCATTACAGGCTGAAATTTAAGAAAGAAATTTCAGGTGCTATGCGAAATAAAAAAGTTCTGATTTGTGAAGAACCAGGACCAATTCAAACCTGACAATAAAACCATAGTCCTTGAATGGAAAGCCTTCCTAGCCGAAACTGATGCTCCAGCTGTGCTACCATGGCCTTGTAGTCCTGATGAGACAATTCAGAAATGATTTTCAGTTGGTGACACCTACTAAATTAGAACTGTCAGGTGGATAAGCCTACATTAACACTGTTAATTCAACTGCTACAACCATAATGGTGACAGATAAGCTGCTGTTTATGAAACAGATACAGGGTTGTTCCCTATAATTGCCATCGCTAATTCCAATTAAGAGGTCCCACCAAACTATGTAGGCACAGTTGAAAAGCATCCAACACTCAACATAAAAGTAAATAAGAAGGTAAATCTATCAAAATTAGAGGCTTATGAAACATGCACAAAGCACAATAGCAAATTTACTATATATAGTCCAATTCCTTCCAAAAGGCTCACAAAAAACTTACGAGAAGAAGAGCCCTAAGTCCAGCAGCAAAGGCATGATTAACCAAGCCATTCTTGAATAGTGACCTCGACTCAACAAACTGGTCAATCAGCAGGTAGCTCTTACACAGAGGGACCAACCTATGCGTAAATTCCTGAAATAGAAAATTTACTTAGTCAGTTTGAAAGCAGCAGCAAAAACATCAGGGATATATTATTAAGTTTCAGTTTGTAAATATGCATATGCCAACATTATCTCAAGAAAACAGAACACAGCAATAGATCCAATTAGATATTAATTACAACCAGGGTCGCAAGAAAAAAAATAAACTCAATTTCGACAAAGTTAGTTTACCCAGTTATGATTCGGAATGAGAATCAATATACCAATCATAACCTCGAGCAGGTGTTACCCAACTGCAATTTGTTTTTCAACATTTGACTAGCAAATTTTCAAATTTACAGCATCCACCCAACAGCCAATATATAAGCTACGACATAAAAGATTGAAGTGCAAGAAAATAAAAGCAGAACTTGAGTGCAACATAAACAATTAAATTACTCCAATAAGCCCTGATTTTTCCTTCATTCTTTTGGTAGAAAGTTACCCCTGATTCGTAGTAAAGCACTGACTAATACCTGGAGTACCAAATCCATCGATGCATCAACCTCGAAAGCAATCTCATCCTCCTTTCCACGAATTCTTTTGATATAGATATACCGGCCTTCAAGCCCAACCAATGCAGACATCAGATCATCAATGACAATGAGCTCCTATTTTATCAGAGGAACTCATCAGCAACACAGTTTTCCATGGGAAAAACTTCGAGTCTAATGAATTTAACTCCAGCATGAACGAAATCAACAACCAAGCAGTTTAACATATTCGTGCACTTTTGATTAATGCAGTTCGAGAGTTGGCTTTTATTACTGATAGAAGGAACAAGTACTATTTATATTTCCAAAATAGATCAGTGCACAGAGCTGACTTTCGCATCTCCGGCTAAAAGGGGAACCATCTTCTACTATCCGTGGATAATTGCTGCATTTGCAGATGGTACACCTCGTTTTACGAAGTCAGCCTCCAGTGCATAAATAAAATCCATAACAATGTTCCATTAAGGGTAGACCATAAGACTTCACCTTTCAAACTGGAGCAGGAAAAATCAGAATCGAGAAAGAGGTTCGAGTACATAGGAAAGACGAAAAATGTACCTGAAGGGCAGCATCATAACAACCAATGGCTTTGTTCAATCCAGGGCTGCTTAAATTGCGGTGGAGGCACAAAGAGATATCAATACTAGCTCAGGAGACAGGCCCCCAAGACTTGGTTATGAGAAAGAAGAAAGGACATCTATAAATTAAGTCCAAAATGCATAACTATGATGCAGAACATACCAGAAGGGATCCAAAGAAAAACCCTTCGAGTCATCGGCGAGGGGCGAAGTACGTTTGGCTTCCTGAATCAGAAATGTAGCAACATATCATCAGAGCAGGAACCTCGAAAGTAACCAAAGCTTCTAGACTCTACTGGTTTGGGAATTACAACAAACAGCAAGTCCGCACACGCACCGGGAAACAAACAATGTACGCTAAGGGAACAGGAAATAGAAGAAATTGAGTGCGCGGCGAAGAAGAAAATGAAGAAACCTGGTGGAACCGGCCGGTGAGGAAGGGTCTTTCGACGTTCCAGAGAGGAGTCGGAGGACAAGAAATGTTCGCCGCCGCTGTTTCCATGTGCAGAATTCTTCAAATTCAGTCAAACCGGAATCCCCAATTCCAGTCCAATCGGAATCGCCAACTTCAGTCCACTCGGATTCTCAGTTTTAGGGGGGCTTCCTCTCTCTGTCCCCTCTCTAGTCTTCTCAAAGCAAAGGGGAAACGGGATCGGAGAAGGAAGAAAACGGCTCCTCAAAGGAAAGAGGAAAGGAACGGTGGCGGGTCACTGTGTGTCAGGTAGGACTTCGTTAGTTCCAGAAAACTTATTAGATTAGGTCCCGCCCAGTTGAATATGTTAGCCGTGCTAAACCTTTGGTGCAGGAGCGTTGTTTTTTTTGCCCGTACGCGCTCTGTAGTGGGACGGGATAAGGTGACAACCTCTAAGTCAGATTTACAACCAAGTGTAATTTGAGTATGGAAAAAAGAAATATATTAATTACAACCAGAGTGAAAGTAGAAATGTCATTTTTGTCTTTACACATTTATTATTTATTTCATATAAATATAGCAATATCAAGATTTGAACCCAGGTCTCTTCAAACAAAGATAACAATCACAACCAGTTACACTAAACAAATTTATTGCATCCTTTTTTATACAAAAAATAGACAAAGTTAATCTCTGAAAATCAGAGAACTTTTTCATCATAATTAGCAAGCTCACTAAGTCTACCGTATGTATTTTTATCGAGCTTGATACTTCTATTTTCATAGTAGAGTTTCATGTAATTTTCTCAATTTTAAATTCCCGCTCTCTCCTTGATTTTTGCTAAAGGTAAATGGGTAATTGGCCAACATGGAAGAAACTAATTATGTAACTACTGTTGTATCCTCGCATTTTTCAATTCAAATTTAAATTTTGTGTTTTTTTATCTTTGTTCTTTTCTCTTTCTAACTTCCTCCGAAATTTCATCCATCGTGCAATAGTTTGCGCCTTTCACTTCCCAGTACAAGACTGCTATTGAAAATCAATCTTCAGGTATCTCTTGGCACTACGGTTTTATTGTTGGGGATTTTAAGCTGGGCGAGTAGAAGATTTCAACTCCGATATCAATTCATGGCGAATAGAATGGAGTTCATCAATAACTGAAGTTGTAGAAGAAAGATTAGAAATTGAATTTTTGATTGAATATATGCCTCTTGAGATAGAAATTTGGTTGTACAACGGAGAGTGGTGGCTATTGGATCTTTAGGTTTATGGTTTTTGCAACTGTCATCAATGCAGTCAAAATCGGGATTTTAAGTAAAATCGAAAACTAAGGTAGAATCGGAATCGTAGATTAAAATCGTAAAATCGTAAGATTTTAAGGTTCATATTAAATAATCACTTAAGTAATAAAAATGCATATCCTGAATAACAATCAACCACATATAACATAATTACTTCCCAAGATAAGTTTGTTTGCTAAATAAATACAGCTAAATCCATATATCCATTCTTGTACATAATATAAACACACAAATAAGCAACCTGAAACCCCCAATGAAATCAGTTAATTAATAGTTAAGAGTAGAAAATTACATAAGATCGTTAGGGATCAACATTAATATCACTTACTCCTCATCATCATCATCATCATCCTCACCCTCACTCTCACTCTAACTCTCATCATTGTCTATTTGCTTAAGGATTAATATAATTACTCTTAAGATCACTTGAAATACTTTCACCATTAACCATATTTCCTTGATCACAAAGATAACTTATTGATTGGTGCATTCCCTTCTTAATTGATAAAAGGTCGGGGATAGTGCTGCTGAAGGACTGAGAGATGAACGAAAGATTGCAATGGAATGGAGATTTGGATTTTTGTGAGGGTGGTGGGAAAAACCTACAAGCTAATTGGGAGAGTGGAAGATATCGTCGAAGGAAGGAGTTGGGTGTCGACGTGCGAAAGAGGAAGTTACGAGGAAGAGAATGAAAATAAATTGAGTGTTGTCTATTGGGTTAGGGTTGCGTTGTTCATTATGTTGGGTCGTGAGAAGTAAACTTGACTTGGTTTAAGGATAGAACCGGACTTGACCAGCCTCATTTTGCTCCAATTGATGTGAACCTTGAAATCGTACAAAATCGTAGAAATCGTAGATTTTAAGGATTTTAGAGTTTTAAATCAGGATTTTATGGGATTTTAAGGTTCAAAGATTTTACAATAAAATCATGATCGGAACCCATAGGTAAGATCGTAAAATCGTAAGATTTTAAGATTAAAAGCGGGATTTTGACTACATTGACTGTCATAACCTATTTCTATCTTAAAACGAGGAATCATTGATTGATTGTTTGAATTCTTTATTCAACCTACTGGAACTAATAGATAAGGAGTGTCTAATTTTGCGCCTTATTACTTTGATCGAGTCTATTCGTATATTGGAGATAACCCTGATTTTTTCGTTTGCTCTCAAGTTGTGATGGTCCCCTCTTAGCTGAGTTTTTAGTATATAGATGACTTGAATCAACAACTCTCCATTTCTTTTTGATTAGTGACATATTGTTTCTAAAAGGAGAGCATTGAACCCTTTATATAGGATTGTGAGGTTTAAGATTTAGTTTCAAACTATCTATGGGTTGTGTGAGAATTTCAGTGAGGCAGTGAGCTTTTATACTCTATATTTCTTGACTGTCAAAGAAAACTAACCAATAGCATTTTAACAGGGACTTAATTAGCATTATGAAAATGGGCTCAATGATACATTTTTATATTTTATATTCTTAAATGATTATGATATTTCTCCGAATGTTCGACCTATATATTATTTCTTTATGTATCATCTCATCTCTATCGAATGATTACCAATAAGATTAAACGGGTTAATAAACTTAAAAATAACATAAAAATACAAATAATCAAATTGAGCATTCCGGCCAAAGGGCCGGGTTATAAGCTAGTACATTAATATCTCTATCTATCTCTCTCTTTCTTTCTCCAGCGGCCACTCCGCATCGACGGACAGACTTTTTCTCCGGCAAATTCTCTCCGACAGACTCCCTCCGGCAACCTGAAAAATGTACCAGTGCGTTAAAAAGTGTACCAATCCATTAGTCTACTGGTAATTAATATACCAGTGCTAGTGGTACGCTACCAATGCGTTAAAAAATGTACCAGTATTAGTGGTATGCTACCAGTACAACGCTACCACTACCATTGGTAGCGGTACCAGTAGAGAATAAATGTACCACTAGCACTGGTAGCGCTACCACTAGCATTGGTAGCGATACCAGTAGAGAATAACACCAAAAAAAAAAAACAAATGATAGTGGTACGCTACCACTACCAGCTACCTTATGGTAGTGGTAGGTACCACTATCACTGGTACGCTACCATAAAAAAATGGTACCACTAAAAAACCAGATCTAGAAAAGGGGAGTCGGTGACGGGAGAGAGAGGTAGGGGAAGAGGGTGACCTCGCGACGGTGGCAGTGGTGGGGACGAAGGGCGGCGAGGATGATTGTGTCGTGGTGGTGGGAGGCGGAGGGGCGCCGATAGGCGGCTGAAGGCGGAGGGGAGAAGATTTCGCTCCCGTCTCGTCCGCCGAGTAGGGAAACAGAAACTGCCAGCGAGGTTGGATACGACGGCAGAGGAGGATCGCGCCGGTGGCGGCGGCCAGGCGGAGGAGGAGGAGGATAGTCGGAGATGGCGGAGACGAGATGGAGGTTGAAGGCTCGACAGGCGGCTGAAGCCGGAGGGGCGCCGACGCCGGTGGTGGAGGGCTGTGGCAGCGGAGGGCTCTGCGAGAGAGGGAGGAGAGACAGTGATGGCTACGGGAGAGAGGGAGGAGAGAGGGAGGATGGAGGAGTTAGGGTTTTTTTCTTTTTATATGATAGGATGAATGATTGGGTGTGGTAAAATTTTACCCTTCCAAAGATACCTTTCCTTTAATCTTAACCCTTAATTTAAAAAAGAAAAAAGAAACGGGAGAGAGAACGTATCCAAGGGCTATGAAGTGGGTTGTGAATCTGACAACCCCCTTAGGGGTTGTCACCGTATCCCGTCTAGGGATGGCAAAAATATCTGTAACCATGGATATCCACTCGAATCCGGCCTAATCGGGTAGGATAAAACCCGAACCCGAAGCATTTTTCGTGGGTACGGGTAAAACCCGAACCCGAATATTGCGGGTAATGGGTGGGCATGGTTATCTCACTATCCAACCCGAACCCGCCCGATTATACACATGCATATGTATTTTGTCTAGAAATAATCATTATTTTTCCCTAGAATATTTTTTATTTAGCAAATAAATATAATATTTTCATGAAATTATATTGTTTTAATTAATTTTCGTCATTCTAGTGAATTATTGTCGTACTTTTCCTCTTACGTAAAGTGAATATACGTGTGAATGTTAACATATTGGTTGGAATTATAAGGAGAAATTATTACCCATGGATAACCGTGGATACCCGAAACCCAAACGGGTATGAGCATGGTTTTGATTTTCTACCCGTTTCTCGTGTGGGTACGGATATGGGTAAAACCCGAACTACATTGGGTAGGGTAACGGATATGCACTATCAGCCCCTGACCAGACCCGACCCATTGCCATCCCTAATCCCGTCCCCTCTGTAGTGTGTAGAGCCTAGATGAAAGAGGAAAGCGACTGCCTGCCTCCAATTTCGGTTGGGTGACATTCATTTTTTGATTCATTGAATTAGGGTTCACGGGTGGGTAAATTGAATTGGGTTTGGTTATTATTTTTTTTATTAATATTTTTAGTGAAGTGGCTTGACGAAACTAAAGGTTTTTGGGTGGAGATGGTGGAATGACCATTTCGTTATTCTCTTAAACGTATGTTACTGAAATGTGCAAAATGGAAGGTTTGTGACCATTTTGTACAAAGTGAATAGATTTGTGACCTTGTAGGCTGATTACCCTCAATACTTTTATTCGGGCTAAATTTCAAATTTGGTCACTTGAATTACTAGTAAAGTTCACGTTAGCCACACTGGAATTACTTTATTTCATCCGTAGTCACTTAAATTAGGTTAACAGTCCAAATTTGGTCACTAGCCATTAGTCT